CCCGGAGCCGCGGGCCTGGGTGGGGTGCAGCTCCCTCCGCCCCAGCCCGGCTGGTAGGAAGGGAGGATTCCGCCCTTGGAGACGACTTTTGAAAGGAGCGCGGCCTTCCTCCCGTGCCCCCTACCTCCCAGCCCTCGCCTGCTCCTCGCCCGCTCGGGGGGCGGGAGTTGGCGCACGCCACCCCGACTGCCCTCAAGGCCCCGAAGGTAGATAACAGCGCGCACCTGGAGACGCCCCGCTCTCCGCCCCCGGCACCATCCGCTGCCCTGGCCTCTCCCTGTCCCTGGTCTCTAGGGGGCTCCCTTGCTCCCGTCTCCATCCCTCTGCCCCTCTCCGTTGCAGTTGGCTTGGATGCGGCTGGCAAGACCACAATCCTGTACAAACTGAAGTTGGGGGAGATTGTCACCACCATCCCAACCATAGGTGAGCCCGGGGGTGAGGCAGGGAGGAGCGGGAGCGTCGCGGCGGGCCTTCTCGGGGTCTGCTCCCGGTTCTGCCTTTTCTGGAGCTGACCCTGACACCAGATCCGGCTACTCGAGAAGTGGGTCATGGTATCTCCAGGCGCTGATACCAGAGGCGGGGTGGTTGCGACCTAGCCCCGCCCTGTCCTGTCCGTGACCGCCAGTCCTACGTTGTTCTGTTCCTGTGGGCCTTGGTCCTTGCCCTCTGGTTTTGTGTCCCTGCTGAGATCCAAGTAGTTTCAGGGAGTTCCTTCCTTCCAGGACTACTTCTTATATTTTTTTCTAATTATTTGCAGGCTTCAATGTAGAAACGGTGGAATATAAGAACATCTGTTTCACTGTCTGGGATGTAGGAGGCCAGGACAAGATTCGGCCTCTGTGGCGGCACTACTTCCAGAACACTCAGGTGGAGTGGGGGGGAATTCCCCAAGCCCAGGGTAAGAGGTGTTAGGGCTAGGAGGATTGAGATGTTGGCCTAGGCTGAGCCTTCAGGCCAGCAAGACCCTTAGCCCCTTCTGTGCTGTGTGGGTGGCTCGCCTCAGCTCATCCTTCAGAACTGGCCTTAGTCTTCTGAGTCCGACTTGGACTCTAGGGCCATGGCGCCTGGTTTATCCCTCGTCACACACCTGTCCCGATTCTCTTGCACGTCTTTAGGTCAACCACTTCCTCCTGAAGGGCAGAGGCTGTATCCTTTGCTGTGGTGACTCTAGTTTGTGCCAGATCTTCTGCAGAGCCTTAGTGGAAGTTTACTAGATGAGAGGGTTGGCTCAATTAAAGGTGGGAAGAAGAAAGGGCCGTTAGCCTTTCTGTTCTGAGCTAAAATGAAGAAAAGAAAGGGCTGAACTAGAGAATGTCCCAGGCAGGAATAATTGCCACTATTTCCCTCCCGCCCAGGGCCTCATCTTCGTGGTGGATAGTAATGACCGGGAGCGGGTCCAGGAATCCGCTGATGAACTCCAGAAGATGGTGAGTACCCAGACCCCTGGGAACTGAGTCCTCAGTTTGGAAACAGAGATCTCTGTGGTGGCCTGGAAGTCAGGGAACCCTCCAACAGGCATCACTGGCCAGGAATGTGAGTTTCTCCTTGTGGACAGACGCAGTGTGCATCTCATCCTGTTTGGATAGGACTTTTTCTGTGAATTCTCATGTCCTTACATCTGAGTCAGAGAGAGAAACGCCGCCTTACATTCTTTTTTCATTTGGAAATTTTGTCGTTTTGCTTAAAGCAAGTACTCCAGTGAGAAAAAGGCCTTTTCTGGACATAAGGCTTAGGTGACCACCAGCTTGTTTGTAACTCCATGTCCTATGTTCGGCAATAGATTACATATACAGTACATAGCAGTGGACTACAGACTCAGTATTTTTCCCACAAAGAAGCTAGAAGACAGAAAGGGGTCTCCCCAACATAGCAGGGAAGAGGGAACCTGGGGGTTCCAGTGGGACCATAGGTCCCACCCCCTCTCCTGCCCTCTCAGCTGCAGGAGGACGAGCTGCGGGATGCAGTGCTGCTGGTGTTTGCCAACAAGCAGGACATGCCCAATGCCATGCCCGTGAGTGAGCTGACCGACAAGCTGGGACTACAGCATTTGCGCAGCCGCACGGTAAGGGTCCTGCCCACCTCGCCCATGGGATCCCGCCTCTCCGGGGGCGTCACAGGCTGGGGCAAGGAGGTGAAGGCCTCCTCTTTTCCTCTTGGCTGCTGACCTCTTCCTGTCCTTCTTCCCACAGTGGTATGTCCAGGCCACCTGTGCCACCCAAGGCACAGGCCTGTATGATGGGCTGGACTGGCTGTCCCACGAGCTGTCAAAGCGCTAACCAGCGAGGGGCAGGCCCCTGCTGCCCGGAAGCTCCCACGTGCATCCCCGGGACGACCAGACTCCCGGACTCCTCAGGCAGTGCCCTTCCCTCCCACTCTTCTCCCCCACAGACACAGGCCTCTGCTCCTGCTCCTGCCTGCATGTTCTCTCTGTCGTTGGAGCCTGGAGCTTCGCTCTCTGGGCACAGAGGGGTCCACTCTCCTGCCTGCCAGGACCTGTGGAAGGGACTTCCTGGCCAAGGCCCCCTCTTCCAGAGGAGGAGCAGGGATCTGGGTGTCCTTTTGTTTTTTTTCTGTTTGGGGCGTACACTTGGGGCCAGGTGCGGGGGGAAGGTGAGGGCTCCGGGTGGTGCTATGATGTGGCATTGGATATTGAGTAATAAATTTGCTGTGGTTTGTACACTGTGTTTTTGTAGCCTAGAAGCAGGAGACTGGATTATTAGGTGCAAAGACATGATGTGGCAAGGGCTCAAAGCACCCTCCCCCAACACATACACATCCTTATCCAGCTCAGTTTCTCCTTCCTTATTCTTGGGTTGTAAATACTGTGGGGTTTCCAGTGGTAGAAATTTCATGCCTCCCCAGTTCCTGTTATCTGTTAAAGATAACAGGATCAACCTTCATGATTCAATAAAACTACATAACTCCACTTCTCATCTTTCTCCTGTCTACCTAGAGCAGTAGTTCTTAATTGCTTTGCACATTAAAATTTAAGAGGGAGAGGGCCGGGCACAGTGATTCACACCTGTAATCCCTGCACTTTGGGAGGCAGAGATGAGAGTATTGCTGAGCCCAGGGGTTTGGGACCAGCCTGGGCAATTTGGCAGAACCTCATCTCTACAATAAATCAAAAAATTAGCTTGGCAGCGTGCACCTGTGGTCTCAGCTACTTGGAAGGCTGAAGCAGAAGGATCACCTGAGCCCAGCAGATTGAAGCTGCAGTAACCATGATCATGTCACTGTATTCCAGCCTGGGCAACAGAGTGAGACTCTGACTCAAAAATAAATGAGGAGGGAATATGTGTTAAAAGTACCAGTCATGAAGTATACTTCAGAAAATGGGATCCATCCTGGTTGATCTGAGGCCCAACAATATGCATCTTTAAAACTGCACAGATGATCCTGCCAAAACACTGGCATGTCCTGGGGGTTGCATTTTCTCCCTGAGCACTACCGGGATTCTTTCTACCTGGAAAGATTCCATCTATAAGGAATAGGAAAGCAGATGTAAGGAACCAGTGGTGTGGTCTAGTCTCCAAGTGCGATTGACTCCATTTCATTTGGGATCCCAGCAAAGCTTAAAATCCATCATCACAATTTCTTTTTACTTTTCTGTCTTTTTCTTTTATGTTGTCGGTTTTTCCAGTTTTTCTGGACTGGGTTTTCTCAAGCTTTGCAGGAAGTGAGTCCCAGAAACTATTAGCAGAGACTCTAACAGGGAAGGCTCCTTCCAGGAGCTCTGGCTGTCCTACCTACCAGCAGTGCAGCTGGGGTTGGTGAGGAGGGGCGCTCAGTGCTCTCTCCACCTAGGCCCTTGTTATTCTGGTCCTGAGCCAGCCTTTCTGATTGCTATAAGTAATTTGATCCTCACTGGTTATCTGTCTAGGGCTTCCTTACACTCCCTGCAAAGTAACTTATGGGACATTTTGGCCTCATCTTCCCAAGAGCCATAAAAGCTGATAGATCTTTCTTGGACATCTTGGGCTTTTAAAAAAAAAACTGAGCTTCAAGAGAGCCCAGCAGAACTGACTTCCTAGGAAACAAAAAGGTTGATTTCTATCCTACAATCAAAATGAGAAGCAGGCTGCTGGCTCACGCCTGTAATCCAACCCTTTGAGAGGCTAAGGCTTGAGGCCAGGAATTTGAGATCAGCATGAGCAACATAGCAAAACTCCATCTCTAAAAAAGTAAAATAAAAATGAAGAATAGAGGTAAAGAAAGGGAGGGACTTGCCTGAAGTTGCAGGTTGAAGTTCTGATCCCCAGTCTCAGCTCAGCCTACCTTTGTGTCCAGAATGGCAGAAGGAGGCACACACAGGAGGCTCTGGATCCATTTCCCCAGGGCCATGGATTGAGGCTATTAGGCCAGGGTCCTTTCCTTACTGTGGCTGAATAAGGGGCAGCTCTCACAGTCACAATGCTCCCGGGTCACAGAGGTGCCGCCCCGGGCCAGCCTCTGCCTGGAAAGTCGCTCTGGGAACATCTGGTGGGTACTGCGGGTCTTACTCCCGGCCCTATGGCCTATAGAACCTCATCCCTGGGGGAAGGTTGGGCTGGACATAATCATTCCCTATGACATCAGCCCCATGGATGAGGTAGCATGGATACACAGACATCCCAAGGCCGAGGACTTAAGGGTTGGACTCATCAGCTGGGCAGGAACCTACCTCACCTTTGAGACTTACAAGAGTATAGTCACCACTACTGCAAAGAGTTTGGGCAGAAGACAGGTAACAAAGCAAACCTGTACTAGAACCAGTTTTCCAAGTGACCAAGCTGTGTGTGGTTGTGTGTCTGTGTGTGTGTGTGTACATGTGTGTGCACACCTGTTTGGCAGCTCAGGTGCACTCTCAACCTGATCGCTTTCCTAACCTCTGCCACTGCCAGACTAATGCCCTTCTACTCAAGACCACAGGTGCCCGTTCCATCTGCCACTCTACATGCATTCCTCAATGCCTGGCCACCTTGTCCTATACTGACTGCTCCCACGGTCCCTCCCAGCACAGGGTTGTGTCAACACAAAGAGGAGAGCTGTAAAGCGTAGGCTGGAGGGTGGGACTGTGGACATCCAGGGGAATGAGCCAGTGGAGATTTCGCAAGGCCTATGTTTCTGTTCTGGTTGTAGTTTGAGAATGGGAGACTCTAGAAACCATCGCAGAGTCAGGCTTCATTTTAGAGAGGAAAGTCGGCATCTCTGGGATGAGGGCCGGAGTGAGGCGGGAGCAAAGTTTTCTCACAACAAGGTTGATTATACCTGAACCAGACATTGATCACAGCTGCTCATGCTCCCATGTGTATCCCTGGAGCCCTGGCCTGCCCATCAGAGTTCTTGCTTTTCTCCTACCATGCTGGGGAGGCAGCCTTTGGGGATGGGGGTATTGGCTGAGTATGCTTCGGAGGGCAATAATGAGAAAGAGAAAAGACTTAAGGCATTTCTGACTGGATGCGGCCACTCACGCCTGTAATCTTAGCACTTTGGAAGTCTAAATAGGGAGGATTGCTTGAGGCCAGGAGTTCAAGACCAGCCTGGGCAACACAGTGAGACCCTGTCTCTACAAAAAAAAAAGAAAAAAATTAATTAGCCGGGCGTGGTGGTACATCCTTGTAATCCTGGCTACTCAGGAGGCTGACATGGGAGGATTCCTTGAGCCCAGGAAATCAAGGCTGCAGTGAGCTATGATCATGCTATACACTCTAGCCTGGGTGACAGAGTGACACTCTGTCTCTAAAAAATAAACGAAATTAATTTTTTTTAAAAACAAAGCAAAACATCTCTTGGGAAATTAGGTTTTAAAGGCAGGAATCAAGGAAGAACGAGGGAGATTTGCCTTCTGTTAGCTGAAGGAGGCAGGCTTCTAGAACTTTTCTTCTGAAAACCCCAATGGCTCCAGTGGTGGAAGGGCCCAGAGATCTTTTGTTGACTGTTGATTGGAAGAGCTGACAGCAAGGAGATGCCAGGGTTTATGTGGAGGGAAGGTGGTTGTCTGGAGGAAGGGGCTGGCATGATGCCAGGGGATGGCCACACGCTCCTTGGTTAGTCACTCTTCTCCCTCTCAATGCCTCCAGACCTGGGAGCTCCTGGTGAGTAATGAGCACGAGACACAGGCCGTGGTGCGTCTGAGGAGCCTGCAGGGCCTCTACCTACTGTGTGAGGGGGATGGCACCGTGTGCTACGGCCGGCCGAGGACCAGCCACCACGGGTGTTTCCTGCTCCGTTTCCACCAGAACTGCAAGTGGACTCTCCAGTGCCTAATCTCTGGCCGCTATCTGGAGTCCAATGGCGAGGATGTGTTCTGCAACTCACGGGTCCTCTCAGCTTACCACATGTGGACCCCTCGACTGGCCCTGCACGTCCACGTGATCCTCTACAGCCCCATCCACCGCTGCTATGCCCGGGCCGACCTCACTATGGGCCGCATCTGGGTGGACGCGGCTGTCCCCTGCCTGGAGGAATGTGGCTTCCTGTTGCATCTCCGAGATGAATGCTACCACCTGGAGACCTCCACACACCACTTCTTGTCCCATGTAGACCGGCTGGTCTCCCAACCATCCTCCCAGACAGCTTTCCACATGCAAGTACGGCCTGGAGGGCTTGTGGCTCTGTGTGACGGAGAGGGAGGCATGTTATATCCACAAGGCACACATCGGCTCCTGGGCCTGGGCTCCAATCCCGTGAGAGGCGAGGAGTGGTTCATCCTACGGCACTGCCCCACCTGGGTCAGCCTCAGGTCAAAGATGCGGAGGTTCATCTCAGTCGTCTACGGCAAGTGCTGGGTCCAGTGCAGCCACAGCGGGAGGAAGGGCTGGCTGCTGAACAGAGGACAGTGTGTTGGGATCAGCAAAGAATTCTGCATTGGCTAATAAGGGAGATCCTGAGGTCCCAAGGGGATCTTTTGTGCTGTGGAGGAGGACAGAAAAGCAGGGATGTGGGCTTTAGGGGAAGGTCGCCTGGGTCTTCTCCAGACCACTATGGTCTGACACAGGGTGATGAAGGTGAGGGTGAAGGAAGTAGAGGGAAGGAAGCCCTGACCATAAAGCATGGAAGAGGCGCTGAGACTGAGGGTGAGGCCAGACCTGGGCTCCCACTGACAATCCTTCCTCTGTAGATACTGAGGTGTATGCTGCCTCTGAGCGCCTAACTCCAATGTCCTTGTTCCAGTTTGAATGCGACAGTGAGAGCCACACCTTGCAGCTTCGTTCAACCAATGGCCACTACCTAGCCCAGGTGAGAACTTGGTTTTCCAAGCAAGAGAAATCTTAAGCTCTGAACTCTCCCTCTGAGTCACCCTTTTTGCCCCTTCAAGGCAGATGACCAGAGGTTGGGGTAAGGTACGGAAGCCCTTGTTGATAAACATCCAATGAAATTAATGGCCTCCTTTAAAAAAGTAACTTTATTGAGGTATAATTTAACAATACAGAGGGTGCCCCCAAAAATGTATACATGTTTTAAGAACAGAAAAAACTGGGCCAGGCGCGGTGACTCTCACCTGTACTCTCAACACATTGGGGGATGCAAGCAAGAGGATTGCCTGAGCTCAGGGGTTTGAGACCAGCCTGAGCAACATGGCGAGACCTC